TCCACTGTTGTCTGCTGACCTAAAAGTCAGTATTAAACACAGCTTTAAGTCTACAAGATAAAGATAGGTATAGTAAAATCTGAACTGTCACTAAAAGTGAAAATGTCCATCATACCCAAGCAGCTTCCTGTACTGTCAGTTTTAAGTTAACTTCTATACATCCTTACACTCAGAAAAATTCTGACATATGGAAACATTATTTAGCACCTCACTATTTCCTGTAATAAAGTGACGACCAGTTGCATTAGCATTTTTACCAGAGTGCACTACAGAATCTCACGGTTCACATTTGGTTATGGCATTATGCTTGCTCTCCACTATTTTTTCATTGCTACTGCCTATGTAGAAGAAAAATCCATCTGTAGGTTGGAGTATTTGTACACTACACTTGGTAAGTAGTTAACAGTCTGCAACAGAATTGCATACGTGTACCCTACACTCATTTATTACAGAGATGATTTGTAACTAAAAGGTAACCAAATTCACGTTCAGCTTCCCCTCAAAGTAGTAACGAGTACAACATACTCTTCTTGCACCACTTTCACCTCTTGAACTCATTTCTTATCCCCAGAGGCTCTATCTCACTTAGAGACAGCCCTTAACCTCCTTTTCCCCTTCAGCAGCTCACGTTAAGCACAATAACCTGGCTAACACTGCACTGAAGCCAGTGTAAGAATGGCAGTGTGACATATCAGCAAGAAGAAGCACTCATGAACTGTAACTGCTGACTGACCAACCTACCCTTTCTGTCAAAGAAATACAAAGGACAGGAGGGATACAGAACATACCAGACAAGTGGTGCTCTTCTCCAACGCACGCAGTTTGCTAGGAACACATTTTCAACTAATGCAAATATCTTTCTAATAACAACTTCTAAATCATGCCTCCTTTAAGAGAAGACAAATCAAAGAAAGTAAGTCTTCAAACGCCTGGCAAATACAGCTCAAAAGAGAGCCCAATTTACCTCCACGTCATCAAGCCCACCGTCACATTTGAAAAGTTACTAATTCGAATGACAGAGCCCAGAGCAGTAGTTCGAGATACAAGATTTTGCAGTCCAGCAAGTGGGTTTATCACCCAGTATTGTGCTGTAAACCAGAAGTTAAATGACAGTCTTGATTCAAAACCAACTCACACTGAAACAGGGACTCAGAGGATGACACATTACCCCGAAGATTTGGCTTTTAGAGTCAACTATGTGACTCTTGCTACCTTTGGTATAACAGTATTACTTTGCATAGATAAAGTTAATGCAACAGGAAGAGGCATCACATTCTAGCCACAATGTTACCTGAACTGTACAGAGGTGACAAGACTTACTGCTCAGAAACATAATTTTGAAAGACTAACCAGTAACGTGATTGCACAGGAAGAGTTCTTTTAAACTAAAATAGAAAATAGTGGCAGTAACCACTTTTGCCAACTTCTACCTACTTAAAGACCTTTAAAGCAGTAACCCTAACTACTATCACTCAATTTACGAGATGTGCTAATGACAACAGCAGGAGGCACACTTGACTCAGAAAAACTAGAGTCGAGATGAATATATACAATGGGAACAAAAGTATTTGAAGGCTAACGCTACACTAACGATTGCCTTGCAGTAACTGAAGCTGAGCACTGTGCACTCTTCACGGCTCCACTATGGTCATGGCAAGATCAGGTATTTCACATTTAAATACCTGCATCCAATATTTAAACCAGGTTCAGTTACAATTTGCTTCATATTGACAGGCCACAAAGTAAACTAGAACAGCCCATCAGTCACATCTTTGTTAGGATGTTGTTACACATCTATAAGCAACCTTGAAATACCCAATTCCTTCAAACCAAATCTTCCCTTCTTTCACAGATCAAGAAAAACTAGAGTCTTGGCCAGTACCTTCCTTGCTGGAGATACTAAGAACACCATTAGATCGCCCATAGAATTTCAGCTCTTTCTCCTATTTCCTCCACAGTTCAGTACATCAAGCACAAGGTAGTTTGAGAGGCTTCTGAAGGATACGGAGCCATATTCTCCAAAGTGTCATTAGCAACTTGGGAACGTAAGCTGCATTTGACAAACACCATCCAAACTCCCTTTGAAAGGAAGCATATCGATATTCTCAGATTTTACACTTTATTGCTACTGAGCATACACATAAAAATTAGGTATAGCTGGAGTATTCAGCATTAAAAAGTCATTCTGACAGAGACCATCACAAAGTCTTCTGTGTTGTCCTTGATCTACAAGATTCCTACTACAGAATTGCTCCAATATTGAAATTCTATAGTTTAACTCAGCTGAAAGCAGCTGGCATCTTGCTTTCTTCCAAACAGCAGAGATTTTAAAGCAACTAAAGCATTCTAGGTATGCTATAAAAGCTGTAAAAGAACATAGGCCCAAAGACTGCGCAAGTACAAACTGTTCTCGCCCCATTCTGTTATAGATCTTGCAATCAAGAACTGTAACAATACACCTTTATCAATTTTGGACAAGACATGAGAAGAACAACTTAAGTCTGCATAATCATGCTAAGCAGCCTCATTCCAGCAGCACTACAGCAGCTCTGTTTAGAAGACTCTAGAGAGGTGGGACACCCAGGATGCCTATGCTTGCTAGCACGAACACAGAGAACAACAGCTCTGCTCTTGCCAAGGAACATTATTTCAACACAATTAAAAGTAACCATCAGTTAGTTATGGTTAAGTGTAATATAGCACAGAAGAAAATCATTCACCCTTCCCTAATAAAATAATTATGCTTTGAAGGTTCACCAATCCTCAAACCATGACATTCTGGAAAACCAACGACATCTAAGGTTCAGTCCATCTTTGCGAGTCCAGACCATATTTTGATGCAAATCACCTATAACAAATATCACTAACCCGTCAACAATTGTATTTTCCTAAAGAAGCAAGCAGATGTACCCATCAAACCAATAAATACCAAGTGCTTCCTTTCATTTCTAGACCCAAACAATAAAACAAGACTTTATCTTAAAATATTCTACTAGCTGTAGAGTCTAGTTCCTTTAACAAATATTTTTAACAGCTACAAAATTTGTATTGTTTCAAAGTTGTCATTTTGTACACAGTCTCCTTATGAAAGGAAACCTACAGCCTTCAGAATAATTTAACCCACGAGACACTCCTGTAACGTAGCTAACCTCCAAGCAAAACATCAAATATTTCCCCCTTACAAATATTTTCATTCATGCTTTTTGCAATCTGTCATTTTAAATACTACTCACAAAATTCTTCGATTAATTGAAAGCTCAGCAACATGCCCTTTATAAATGAGCTTCTTTATTAAATTACTTCAAAGAAGGTGCATCTTTAGACAGTTTGTCCACATGGTACTGCTGATGATTAAAGACACCTCAACAGAGGCAACATTACTGAAAACTGAATGATGCCAAGCTGACATTAGTTTCTGATCAGTAAGTAAAGTGTGAAAATTAAAACAGATTTCAGAGGTTAAAGTCAAGGAACTCCAAAACTGCAAAGATTAAAATTTCAAACAAAAGTCATATAATTTTGGTGCATTATTAATTAATTTCTTCTCAGTTCAAACTGCGTATGAAAAGCTTAAGCAGAGCCCAACAGCAGATCATTTCCATTTTTTAATTTAAAATTAATGTTCAAAAGACCACCACAGCAAGTATGTAGCTAGCATATAGGAGCAGGGCATGCTTAATGGTCACAAAGAAAACTGGAAGTTCACTTCCACAGTCAGTAAGCATAGAATAATGGCAATAACATAATGAACCAAGATACTGGTAGAACGCTTGAGCAACCATCCAAAAGCAAGTATGAATACAAATTGAGAAATCTCTTAATAAATTCTCTCAGTTTGACTGGAATAGATATTAAATTGCTTTTGAGCGGAAGAAAGCTTGGTGCAGTTACTGCAATCAGTCATCTGTGAGCAGCTAACGGCTTAAAAACCCCACAAAGACTTCTTAGATTTTGACCCAATGCTCTTTTGTTTGCCCTAAATCGGATAGGAACACACACAATAATAAAGCCATGCTACATGAACCTCTCTATGAATTGTAGCAAAACCCAACACTAAAAAATAAGCACTACCCTTTTCAGTTAACGTTGAGGCTTTGAAAATAAACTAGTACACCAGGTATTTGTTCCTGGTACTCCAAGTTCTTCCCACTACTTTTAAGGTTGTTGCACAGCAACCTGTGTCTTGATTATACAAACTCTGACTCGCGGGGAACTAAGGGTGTTCTTGCCGTCCTTAGACTGGGCTTCTACAGAGCTCTGCCTCTGCTCAGGCTGGAAACTTCGCAGAAAAGTAGTGTTGTAGGCCAATTTAATCCACCAGTCATTTGGAAAGGTTAAACTTGGTTTAAACTTCAGGGAGTTTTTTAAAGCTTCAGAAAGGAGACAACTACTTTCTTCTTTTCCTTGTGCCTGTATGAGGTGTGAAGCCTAAAACTTACAATGAAAACACCAGCTTTGCAAAACTGAGCGATGCGATCCACTACATGACTTCGCGTATATTCTAGAGTTACCGCCTACAAGAATCCACTGCCACAAACATATGAAACGTCTGTGAAATTAACATTTTAGTATTTTTTTTCCTCTAAGAAAAACACCTAAACAATTTTGGAAAATTAAAGCTAGCCCAAGTTGACATTCACTTACACATTTTCCGTCAGCCTCCCTGAAGCTGTGTACAAGTATTTTTACAATTCTCCAAGCTACCTTTTGGAGGCGTAAAACGTAAGGCGTTGTAAGAAACAGAAATGTAGTATATTTTCTGATGATAAAGCTAAAAAATTTTTCAGAGGACAGAGTATTTAAAAGACTTAAAAGGCAAACTGACTCCAAGGAAAGGCTGCACCTTTTTTCCAAAGGAATGCCTCAGGCAAGGTCTGCAGTTCCTGCCTGAATAAAGCAGACCTAGAGTTGATGGATTTCACCTCCTTCAAGCACACAGCCTAGCACCTGGGAGAGTGACTGTGCTTTGGCAATTCACAATCTTTATTTATTTATTTTACCTGCAGCTCGCACCAGGCAACTTCCACAGTGGTATCCGTATCCAGTCCTTTATACACAGTTTTGAAAGAGCCTCTTCCAATCTCGATGTCAAACTTCAGGAAGCGGCCATCCGGGGAGATGCCCACTGCCTTGGTCTCCAGCTCTTCGATGTCTTCCTGCTGTGTTCTCCGCTCCTCAAATTCCCGGCTGACAGCTGACGCGCTGCCAGCGGCACTGGTGGGGGGTAGCGCGGTTGTCTCGTCCTCCTCCTCCTTGGGCAGCAGCGGGGCAGCATCCTTCGTGGCAGGGGGCTCCTGAGCAGACTGTCCTTCGAGGGGAAGCGGGGCAGGCGGCGGCGGCTGTTGCAGCAGCGAGGGAGCCTGGGCGGCGCTGACAGCGATGCAAGTGGTCCGGCTGATACACTCGGGAGGAGAGACCAACGGAGCGGCGCTGCCTCC